TATTCATGTGACTGGAAAAAGATTTTCTCTGGGCAGACAATTACTGTGTATTAACATCTTGCCTTAGGGCAGTTGAAATGGTTTTTAATGAGGTGTTACCAATCCTGAATATCTTTCACTTGCCACTTGACCCAACAATTTATTTTTTTGCTGGGACGTCTTGACATGAAATACTTCACTTTATTGAAGGGATTTTGTTAATCACATGCTATACTTAAACAGAATTTTTATTGGCTTAAAATGTATTTATTAAATTAATTTCTATTATTTTAAATAGTGACAACTAGTAGATTGAAATTAATCAGAATTGTCTGAGTATTCAGATCCAGAGCCTAAGAATCACATTGCTGAATTAGTATTCGGGTCATGAAAACAACTAATGAGGCTTCAGACCTATAAAAGTCCACTCAAACAAACATCTGCCAGTGTTTTAGAGAATATTCTGGCCCTGGCATCTGCTATGACCTGAAGGGCAGAGCAATATGAACTTAACTAAGACAGTATTTCAGATAACTTGAGATCTGGAGACCATAGCAATAAAGAGAAAATAAATGGCTCTTCCACCAGCATGAAGACACAAATATCTGCTGCTCAGTCACACAGCAGCAGGTGGAGTAGGAACAGCATTTCCAAAGTTATTTTCTTCCAATAATATGGCTCAGGTGCTTGCACTGTGCCAGCGGGACTGAGTCAGCTCTTCCCTGCTCTCACCTCCACTGTTTGCTCCATCACACAGAGTGACACTCACAGTAAAACCAGATTGGATCCTGAAGGATATAGAAACTTTTCTCAGGCTATTCTTACCTTAGACACAGTGCAGTCATCTTTAGATCCTTCCTTGCTGCCACACTGGTATTCCCATAGCACAGACACTTCCATGGCACTGCCTGGATGCCATCAGCAACTGTGATAGTGCAGGGCTGCAGTAATTAGAAGCCTTTTTGTGGTCTTTTACAAGGCCACAATATGGCTGAGTTTGGCCCAGAATCACTTGTCAGGAAAGGGGAAACAGACATAACATAAATTAATTTATAAAGAAATTACAGCAATCAAGACGAAGAGGTTGACCACTGCTTCGTTTCTTGCTGGAGCATATGGTGCACAAATATAATTCATCTTAGTGATTGGGAGGGGATACAGGGAAAGAGGGAATCTCCTTGGCACATACACCAGTACAATGCCAGTTACTCTGCTGGAGTCTCTCTCTCCCTGTATATGTAATCTATGTTGAATTAATTTGTAGTTGGCTGCATTTCAAACACATCAAGTTCGTTTTCATGTATGTTGATGGGATTTTCTTTTGGATCAGTTTCTTATGATAATTAGGCCTCCATTTATGCTACATTGTAACGAGGTTTAGCAACTCTGCGTGTGCAAACCTGGTGGGAAATGGGCTGGATGTGCACAATTTCAGCTTCTGCCATTGCATGGTTTCGATACACTACAGATTCTCCTGTTTCCCAACTCATGGACAGTCTTGTGCAGGCCAACCTTTTCTAATTTTTCAAATGAGAGGTTTTATTTGTTGAGGAATATAAAGCCCAGTGGATTAACTTGCATTTGAAAGGAATGAGGAGTGGTTTTAGCTGGGAGACTTATTGGTTCTTCAGGTCTTCAATGATGAAGTTAAAAAGATGATGTTAAATGGTTTCCAGTCAGGCCTCTGCTGAGAGGGGAAGCACCAGATATTTAAAGATTTCCTACTCAAATATGGAACAGAGAGTAATGCTGGCAAATCTTAAATATCTTTCTTTTTAGCAGAACAGAGACATGAGGTTTTTTAATTTAAAGGAACTTCCACATGGTCTGTTGTGCTCATCTGTTCAATACCTGAAAAACTTCTGATATTTAAAAGCATTAATCACTTCTATTTTGGGTTACTTTATTAGGAGCCAAAGGATACTTCATGCACTTGAAAATCAAGACACCTATTTGTATGTCTAAACACAGAGTAGGACCCTTTTTTCAAGGGGCTGTTTTTTATAAACTTCTCTTTCAGTGCCCCTGTGGAAGGAGTATTGGACAATAAACCACATTGGGGGAACGCCTGTAGCTTTAGGTGAACATATAAGAAAACAGAGGTGAATTCCTGTTAATTCTAAGGCAGTTAATGATAATTCCTTCTAAAAAGTCACTGTACAGCAATACAGAGAGCTCCTCTTAATCCTCCCCGCCACCAAGTGGTCCTGGCTGTCCATGAGAACAGACAAGCTGTTTTCCCTTCACAACAAGGTGGAATTATTACTAAAAGAACTTTTTGGGGGGTGAGGAGTATTGGATATGCCTCAAGCTTTCTGATATGCCTGAGGCATAAATATAAGCTCAGTCCAAAAATCTGAGGAAAAAAATGGATATTTAAGCTTTTCCTATCAGAAGGATAGGATGATGCCGGGGTGAGCATGACCTCTGTGGGGCAGAGAGAATTCCTATTTCTCCGTGCAAGGAGAGCCCTGGCAGTTCAACCACACTCAGGATATCAGCACATACACAGGATTTTGTTGGCACAAAGTCCTGCTTTGTCCACGATCCAAGTGCAGCAGAGCAACGTGAGCATGGCCAGTACGAGCCCAACCTCGGTGGTAACCCTGGGCCCAGGCTCATGGGCCCTGGCTTTTAAACTCGGTGTTAAGTCATCTCAGCATTGTACTAAGGATGTTCAGCTGGGTTTTAGTCCCCCAGCTAAGCAGGGGCAGAGCCAGCCTGTTTCTGCCTGTGGAACACCTCCTGCTCACCCTCTCTGTAATGCAACAACCTCAGCTGAGTTTGGCACTTAAAAGCTTTTTCCTGCAGGAGCCTGAGGCAGTAGCTGTAATTGCCAGTTCATAAGTAGCTTCTTCAAAACAAAACCTTTTTTATTCTTTCTCCCACACAGTACAACTGTTAATGGTGCAGAAGCTAAGAGCAATTGCCCATTTTTGCCCTTACAACTACCTTTATTTTCCTTTATAACAGCAAAACCTTGTAAGCACAAGTCTCTCTCAAGCTACTATCTTCCATTTCCTTTTGAACACAAGAATCTTTATCTCTCTAAATATATTTGCATAGCAAAAATACTCCTATTGCTTACTGAAATACCTTAAAATATTTAGTATTTTCCTACTATGCTGTGGTGGAAAAAGAAAATAAATCTAGGAGACATGGGTTAGACTGTTCCCATTTCTCAAAAGAAGTCTGCAATAAATATTCATCTTAACCTGAGGCATTGTTGTTAATATTCAAACTTGGTCTTTTCAGCTTTATATTTTAAAGAAGTGCTCTGGAAGTTTAAGAATGGACCCTCCTTCTAAACAAATCCACACAGAGATGTATTTTTATGTGTATAATTATCAGTAAGAGAATTATGAACTTCATGTTCCAAACCCTTTGTTCATTCAGCCATTTTGGTGTGAAGTTATTTATTGTGTTGGAACATGCATAAAACTCTTCTCATTTAAGTGAAATAAACTGTGTAGTACCAGATACAGAATTTCTCAAGGTATTTGCAAGATGTTTTCCCAAGTGAGTCCTGAGGAAAAAAAAATTATATCAGCATTACCTGTTACATAATCTGTAAGGGGGAAATTATGCCTCATACTCTGTTAAGGTTGCAATGATTATGAAACAGAAGGAGAACTGAACCTTAGCTTCCCCAATAAATAGAAAAAAATCCATACACAAGAGATTTTTTTAATTTGAGATAAGGCTTGTCTGCTTTACCACAGTGAAAATTGTAGGGTACACAAAGAACAAGCACTGGATAAATAAGAATCACTGGCCTTTATTGGGACATTTTAGGAGGTTGGGTGACCAGTGCAGTAGAAACATTAGTTAGCTCTGGGAACCCATCCAACTTGAGACTGTGGTAAAATGCAAAGATAACTGAAATCCCAGCATTTCCTCAATTTAACCTTTTAGGAAATCAGAGCCTCAATATATAATTGAATATATCATTTCTCGGGGAAACAAAAAAGCATCCTTGCCTATTACATTCAGTTCTTCAGCCCTGTGGTTCTTGCAGTGTTTTAACTAAATCAATGTGAAATGGAGAGAGTTTTGCAGTATTTAGTTGAATGAAGTAATTTTTAGAGCATGCAAAAAAAAAAAAATCACTCACAAAGGGGTAAGATTCATAATGTGAACTTTCTCAACAGAACTTGCTGCATAGTCACATGTGGTCAAGAATCTACAGAAGAGAAATGTGTAAAACAATTTGCAACCATGTATTGCACCAGAATCCAAAGGAAAAAAATCAGAGCAAGTGGGCATGCATATGTGAGCCTTATCATAAATAAATAAAGCATGTACTTACATCATTTTAGTGTGCTTAATTGTTTTGCTAAACTAACACACTAATGACTATTGTCTTTTTACAGAGAAAACACCGAGCATGAAGCAAGACTTCAAAGAAGAAACTGAAAACACTGCTCTTGGCTGTGGGATTTCAAGGGACCTTAGAGCTGGGTGTGACGTTCTGTACAACTAAACCTCTTGAAAGTGTCTTATTCATTGCTTGTCTGCCATCTAATCCAATAATCTCTTAAAGCACCCAACAAAGCACCAATTCTTTGCTGTAAGCACACGTGTGTAGCTGAATGATGCACGTTCTGTGCCCTGTTCATGATCTACCCCATCCACTGCTGCTCTTACACATCACCCTCATTGTCTGTTTTAATGATGCAGCCCCAAAGGGACAGTGTTGTTCCATGCCTGCCTTTAGGAGCATCACTGCACAGATGAAGAGATGATGTGATATGAACACAGGAGCCATGCAGTAGTCCAACATATTTTCCTCTAAATAACTGTAGCTACCGATGTGTCCTTGGTTTTCCCCACAAGGACAATGATCCCTGGCATGGCACCATAGCAGTGACAGGGATTGGTCTCAACTGACATGTTTTTTGCCAAATTTTTATAGGACTCTTGATTCTTCTCCTAAAAAAAACTCCAAAAACAAAAACAGCAACAACAAAAAACCCAAACAAACAAAAACACACAGAGGCAAAAAACCTAAACCAAACCAAACAAACAAAAAAAAACCCAAAACACAAAAAAAAAAACCAAACCCAAAACTGTTCCAGGATCCCTCACAAGGGGACACAAGGATAAGGATCTGAGGAAAAGCCAGAGCAGTGTTCACAGTTACCTGTTCTCCCTCTACACCCACTCAGGGAAGAAGAGAGAAGCCCAGTTGCCTGAGGACATAAGGGGGACCTGCAGTGTCAACTAAAATCATAGAATTATATTGATGTTTAAGTCAGAAAAGACCCCCAAGATCATCTGGTCTAACAGCTCCCCCATGTTCACCACTAAACCATGTCCCCAAATGCCACATTCACACCTTTTTTGAGCCATTCCAGCAGATGGGATCAGGTTGTGACCCATTTAAGGGTCTGCTTGCTTTATTCTTTCAACAATAATTTGATGCATATTTGAATAACATTCCTAAAAGTACTTGTGAGTGGTCCATGATGGCAAGTTTTCTAACTGCCAGTTCTAATTTAACCCCCCCCTAATAAAAGACCAGGGCAAAAAGCTTTTTTCAATAATTATAAACTTCATTGCAGGTGGGACTGTACCTATAGAGCTGATTAATTGCAGAATCTGGTCTGTAGACATTACTAAGGAAAAGAAGATGAGATCAATATATATAGTATGTACTACATATATAAAACTCCTTGCAATAGAGTATATTGCAGGCTACTGAAAACTGATTAAAAACAGTTTGCCTATATTTACTTTGGCTGCCTTGTAAAGAGATTTTAATTTCATAATCACATATAGTTTACCATTTTTTTTCCCCAGCTGCAGTGGATGAAAACACAAAGGAACAGAATTAAAGTTTGGACAAATTTAAATGCAGCATGCCTTACATTTTCAGTGTTTCTCTTGGCAACCTAAATATTATCTTAACTTGTGGTGTGATTATATATTGGCTCACATAGGGGAACTGCAGAACTCTGCCTGCTGAGCATCATTAAGCACTTTGGTGCTCGGTGGGAGTTTGTTCATTAGGAAGAGTGTGTTATGAATTTTACTGTGTGTGCATCTTTGTCTTTGAGAGAGAGGGAGGGAGAGCGAGGCAATGAGAGGAAAATATAAGATAAATCATTAAAACATACAAAATAACTAAATATAAATGCTTCTATTTAAAAGAAACAGCAGAGTATTGCACAGAAGAAAATAATCATCCACACAAGGGCTGTGGAAAGAAGTCTCCTGAAACCTGTTGCTTCTCCTGTTTGGAAACTTGGATTATTTCTTCAGATTTTTATCTGGTTGGCAGAGATCCAGCAGTCTGCCACATTCTGCCTTTTGGTTTATCATTTCCTTTTAGGTATTAGTGCCTTTTTTTTTTTTAATCTTGGGACATATAAAAGTAAAATTGTTTAATATAATTTATTTTAATAAGTTACCCATACTTAGAAATTAATTCTACTAGCAAGAAAGAGAAAACAAACTGTAAAGATGTAAAATCACATGACTTTTTACCAATTTTATAAACTGAAATTAAAATTTTTCACAGCTGAGAATAACCTATAGACGATTATTCCTTAAGTTATTTTACATGTCAGTGACTAGGTATCAAAGAATATGTGCTCAGGGAGTGAGATGCTGGAGTTTGTGAAAAAGTTTGTGTGTTTTTTTAAGGTCTGCAAAATGCATTTGATTTTTCACCGGAGCATCAAAAAAATGAATCGCTGGCCTACTTTTGTATTCACATGGGCCTTGTTCTAATGCTTTGTGATTCTGTTGGCTTCTCCTGTAGCTGTTTATTTATATCCACATGGATGTGGAGGAAAATCAGACTCACTGTTTTGCAAATGGCTTTTCAATGCCAGTGCAGTGTTATACCCACTTGGCATTGTGAAATTCAGGGAAATTAATAAGATTTTCAAACATAGTTATTTTAGCATAATATGACTTTATATATAACATTTTTACCTTTCTATGTCCATTAAAAACAAAGAAACAGTTACTGAAAGAGGAGAGAAATGTGGAAAATGGATAATAACTGTTCCTTTAAATTATGTCTCCAAATATTTTTCCTCTATGAAAGTAGCAAGAGCTTAAGCAACTCCTGCTGTCTTGTTGTTCGACATCCACTACTGCCCATCTGCCTATTGATTGGTAGGAAACTCCAAATGGGAATTTCATCTCATTAATCATGTCACATCACAGGGATTAGGACAAAAAAAATCCTTTATGCTTCACAGCAGCCATCTAATGCCCAGTAAGACAAGTGAACGAATATGATATGGATAGAATATCTTCCCACTAATTAAAGGTCATCTGCTAAAAACTGAGTCAGGCTGGCTCAGAACGTGCCTGGTCTCAGCCTGCACACACTCCAGCTCTGCAAAATGAAAGGGACAGTAAATATGTATTTATAATTCAAATGCAAACGTGGCTCGAGAATAAAACCCATCCATTACAGAGCACTGCAGTGACAATACTTGCTGTAGTGGTTCTCCCCGAGTAGCTCCTTGCAAAGCCCAATTCCATGGATTCCCCCCTGTTCCCCCCTCCCACCATCATTAATATCCCTCCACGTGGCGTTTCCCCACCAACACGCTCTGTAATCCTCTTACACCACCACCAAAATTGTTGCTGTTCTACTCATAACCCACATAATCTGCATTATAAGGTGCTGGGATTTTTCTAAGCCTGTTTGGTACTGTAACAAGCAAGAAAAAGCAATTAAAATTGCTGAGATGTGCCTGAGCAGGTGAGGTGAGGCTTCCTTCCAGTCAGGGCACTATGGCAGATGAGAGGGACAGACACAGCCTTGGAAGGAAGCCAACTTATTAATGGAATTTGACCATGCAAAACTTGTTGAAATCCCTCTAGAACATCAAATGCCACATTATAATATCTTTACTGAGGTCCCTGCCATTCCCAGGAAATCTTTAATTCCCTTTTAAGAGTATGATTTATTTTTTTCAGTCATGCTTCCCAAAGCAAGGTTTGTGGGGCGTATTTTGGTTTGTATTTGTGTTTTGCTTTGTCTCTCACCCATTAAAAGCAGGTAGGTGGGATCTGCTTTTTTTTTTGTTGGAAAGAAACCTTCAGGAAGCTGAGGCTTACTTTGACAGAACTAAACAATTAATTATTTTTTTGCTTTTGAGTTAATAAAAAATTCTAAAGTCATAGATATCCTTGAAAACATTGCCTATGGTATTGTATTTAAAATCTTACAGATAATTTTAGTCATGCTAATGACTTGAAATGAAGGTTAGATGATAACACAGATACATTTTAATTAAGAGACTTGTTAATGTGATAAGGTAACATAAGTAGTCTCTTTCAAAAACCAGCAGAATAATGCTGCACACTGCCAGTGTAAAGACTGATAAGAGGTAGATCTTTTTATCATTTAGTATTTCCATATTGAAAGTTTATGGGCCTGCAATTATTTCACACCATTTTTTCTAATATTCCAACAAATGATTCAATCTCTGAAAGCGTTTTCCAGGAGAGAAATTGCTCATCAATGTTTACAGCCATTAGTTTTAGAACATAAACAGAAAGATTTGAGTTTTTCCATTGACCTCCATGCTTAGAGAAAGTTCATGCTGAAGCCTAATGAGAAATAAAAACATCTGTATTTTTGATATTTCAAAATCTCTAGGTAGGAGACATAGGAATAAAACAAATATTTGACTAGTAGCTGTATTCCTCTGCTGAGTAGACTTAAATATGCTTCGCTTCCTTTTTTTTTCCCCACCCCTCAGACTTGCCTCTTGTCCTGGTCTTTAACAAATCCTCTCAGCAGTCTGGGTTTTCTTTCAGCTGAGCAGTTGCAAGCCCTCACCTGGTACCAGAACTCCTATATTTTAATCAAACAAGCTCCACCCTCTCCTCTTTCTCTGACTGCAGCTCAGTTTACCCCTTGAATTTCTGCTCCCCCTTTCCATTCACAGCTGTTCTTTATTTAATCCTGGTTCTCCTCCCCTTCAGGCCACATTTACCAGATTACTTAATCAAGGGTTTGGTGACCCTTCCTGTTATTGTGCTTTTCACCCCTCTGCATTTGTAGCAGATCAGGCGCCCTCTCTATTCAGAATCCATGGCCATTAGTAACAGGGTCAGTGATTCCAAAGGAGATCCAGGCTCCCTGTGCATTGCTCCTAAAGCTGCACCCACACTAGCCTGGAGCAGCTATAGGAGAAGGATTACACAGGGGATTGGTCATAAATGTCAGCTTTTCAGAGGTTTTCTGAGGATGAATACGGATGTGCAGGGAAAACAGTAATTAAAAAAAATCATATAATTTATTTTTTAAGCTCTTTAGGTCTACATACAGGTGTACAGCTTCATGTTAAATGTCCACAGTGGCTCAGAACGAGCTGATATGTCAGTCCAGCATAACAGAGAATTATTTAGGCTGTTTCCAGTACATTATTAGAACGTCCTGGTAGGGCTGGGTGATGTGATTGGAGAACAGAGATGTGACAGGGCCCATCCCCTGCCACTCACCTGCTGGTGTGGGCACTCTTTCTTCTCCTCACAGCTGAGCCCAACAGGTTCCTAACACAGAAGGTCTTTGCAATGTTCTGTGTGATGCAGGCACATATCCTTGCAGGCTTTGAATTTTGATCTTATAGAGCTGTCAATATTATTTACTTCTTGTGTAGTGACAGGCAATCACCTCAAACCTGACAAATATTGAGTAATCTACTCAACCTTTTGCCATCCAGAGGGGAGCTGACAAATCTCTCCTCTTGGCTATCTTGTTTGTAACAACTTTTGCGAGCAAAGAACAGCACTTTTTCTTCAGGCAGCAGAAATCTTCAGCCCAAACTTCCTATGACATTCAGCAAGCAAGTCACCCGTGTGCAGGAGCCCTTACAGTTGCAAGTGCCATAATTCCCATTTTTCTCCTCAAACAATTATTTTACTTTCGTCCTACAGTGAGAGAACAGCCATAAAATAGGCTTCACGCTTGAACATTAGAATTTGATCCAGCATTCAGCAAAAGAGATTTGAATGAATTGTGAGGCATTTCTGTTACCTGGTGCCAAAACCACCGGCTTTGATGTTAAGATAAAAACATCCTGAATCTGCCCAGCAGGATAAGGAAAACAAATTTCATGTGTTGCTTACACTCTCATTTACTCCTTGCCAAAAAGACAGTGTGTTAGAAGCTATTAAACTATTTACCTTTCTAACTTAGGGACTGCACTTGGTGTTTATAACCTTTATATCCTGTTCCTGGTTACAGGGATGCTATGGTTCATTTTTGTATATTCATTTTTCCATGTTCACTCTGTTTTCATAAAGGAAAAAAAAACTTGTGGGTTCAAGCATTTGTTTTTCCTGATTCCTCTTAAATGTGTGCATTTGTCTGTGATCAGACTTCTACTACCTAATGTGTATTTGCTAGTTTTTTTCACATTAACACATAATTTTGCTTCTATTTTAAATAAGAACAGTCCTCTCCTATTTAAGTTATAAGAGAATCCAAAGAAGAGAGCTGCTTGTGAGGCAGGAACAACCTCTGTGGTTCGTAGCACATATTGATTTCTAGCATTCCATGGTAAGCAAAAGTTTAACAACCATAATTTTATGAAAATGACAATTGAACAGCACATCTGGTGAGAATTCATTTATGCTTTTTACATTTTTAACAACCTGGCTATTTTTACTCTTCTCACCCTCTCAAAGGGAGTACAATGTAATGAAGCATGGAGCTGGAACTAGGCCACACCTCAGCTGGAAAATGTCAAATTCTATTATGCCATCCTCAAAAGCATAAAACATAGTTGCACAGTTTTAAAGGTATAAATGAGGGAGGGAACAACATAAAACATTTATCTGAATTCATGCAATGTATTTATAGTACAGAATGGTAGAGTTATTATTTATGTAATGCAGAAATATACCAAATATTTAAAAGTTGAAATCTATGATACATAGATTATCTATTCTGAGAAATCCCTTTGAGCACTGAACTTTCTTGCATTTAATTTTTTCTGGTTGCCAGCTAACAAACTAACCTCCTTAATGTCAGAAACTATTAGTTCCTTTGTCCCCTAAACCCCTCATTTCATATATTAAATTAGTTTAATTGTCTTGAGTTTAAGGACATACTTGTTTAGTATAATATCCAGGAGCCCACATTTCATTTTTGTTAATATTAAATTGTACCTTTCATGCACTGTTTCCTACATTTCATTGGTTAAATTATACATGGGGAAGAAGTTCTGTCTCTTTGGCAGCAGCAATACCACAGTTCATAACTATTCAAATAAATAAATAGCATTTACTAAGCACTTACGAGGAGGAAGGAAGATGGTTAAACTCACTTGCTCACTCTCACTCTTCCTGTTTTCTTCAATACTCCTGGTGAAAGCAGTGCCAACTGGTTCCTCAAATTTGGCTCAGATAACCTTGGATGGGATGGGGCAAGAAGACAATAAATATATATATATACATTTAAACTATTTGAACTTTTCATTTTCTTTGCTTAGAAGCCCATGTAGTTTTTCACTACATTTTAGAGAAAGATCTTGGTCCAAATAATGTTGATTGATGCTATTTCACTTCATTTTGTATCATATGTTACCAGCTTATATCCACACAATGGTCTTGTGCAGTAGATGGTTCAGTGTTGGACATTTGAAATCTTTGTCTACCATTCTGTTCTGATTTAATCTCCTTGGTTTTAAATAGTCTGTCTGAAGTCACTGCAGAAAGGATCAAGAGGGGAGCACTCAGCTCATATTGAAGGAGGTTAACAATCTATTCTTCTTGAGTTATTCTTAAGAGGATTTAACCTATTCTTAAAATTTTAAGAAGCTGTTATTAGGCTGAAGGATGGCAAGGAGTAGTTTAAGATTAAAAGTTGAAGCCAAACAGTGTAAGAATATTATTATTCGTCGTGTACAATATCAGCAATAATTTCTTTTCCTTCCTGACCACTTCAAGCACACAAGCACATATCCACTTCAGTCTGGGCAACACAGCCCTGCGTGGCAATCACTGTGGAAACCAGGGACTGAATCAAAGTAGCTTTAAAAAAGTGCTGAGGAATTTGAAGGGAAAAAAAAAGAAAAATGGAAGTCAGTGCACGACAAAGCTGACAGGGGGTGCTGCTCCCTGGTGCTGAGCAGGCTCCTGGCATCAGTGACTGTGCCTCAGGACACAGGAGAGCAAAGGGCAGCCCTGCACAAATAACCAGTGCTCTGAGCAGCCAGCAAAGGGTTAATGTTTAGTGTCTTTGCTCAGCCCTGGGTAGACATGCTCCCGCTAATTTTCAGCTCTCCTCTCTAACACTTAGCTTAGAACTCAGCAGAACTGGGTTTTTTAGTGTTTGAGTAGACATTTGGCAACTTGTGAAGTGTCAGATGAGCACTGGTGAATTTGAGAATGAGGGTGAGCGCTTGTGTCAGAGAAGGAAAAAATCTTCACAGCAGAAAGCACTCTCTAACCTGAGACTGGAGGTACCTGAAATAAAATAACTTCAAACTAGTCTGTTCCAATTACATTAAAAGCCAAATCCTGCACTCCTGACACTTTACAAACTTTACAACTATTGAAATCTGGCTTCAAGAGTCTGGCTGCACACTTGAGACTTAATCAATATAAACTGGATGTGGTAAAGGTTTAAATCGTGGCCTAAATATAATTTACCTGAGAGAATATGGCTGAAAAGTCCATTTTGAAGGGCCAGTAAGGGAGAGGGACGAGTTGGTAGGTTCAGCAGAGCAGGAATTCCTCCTTTGGAGAGGACCCCCAGCCTGTAGGGTGGCCTGTCCTACACCAAGGCTTTGAAAGGCAGATGTAGTGAGTGATTCCTGGGTAAAGAGCCCCTGCTGTGGGGTGTTACACTGCAGAGAAATGCACAGGTGCAAGTGCTCAGCTTTCCTGCTTTTTTTAACACCAGTGGGACATAGTCCCTTCCCTATAGATTCTCATCTACATGATAAAACACTTGGTAAATCTAAAACATTATTCACTGGACTATTGTTAGGGAATTTCAGATTTATCACTGCTTCTACTAATTCAATTTAATCTATTAATTTACCTCCTATTAATTTATCAAAGCTTTCTGGGTTGGGTGGGTTCTTTTCCCCCCTCATCTGCAAAGTGTTCAATGCTGACAGTGACGGAAACCTCACAGGAAGCATTGACAAGGTTTGAAAAATAATTCTGGAGCCCTTGTGTTGCTAAGGAAGCTTCATCAGTAGAACCAACAATTTGAGACTGTTTTCTCAGCAGTGCATGAGATAAATGAGAACTATTTCCAGATTCAGTAATTTTGAAATCTGAAGAAACGATCTTATCAGTCTGCTGGCCACCCTGAATGGAATGAATCAGGAAAGATTAATAGGCAACAGGGATACCTGTTTTCCTTCAAAGGAAAAAAAGCCCTGCAAAAGTATTTTATGCAGCTGTTTCCTCCACCATTTTGCATTAAGTATAAAATCTCTATGTTTTATGTAACCAGCTTTTCATTATACACTGCTAGGACAAGCAAATTGGTTTATGAAATGAAAAAAAAAAAGGTGAAATTTATTTAATCAGAATAGAAGACCCTGTATGAGGTCAGATATGGTAGAATATTTAATGTATGCTTGGGTATCTTCCAAACTTTTCCCAGAGGATAAAGGAATCTCTCAGGAAATCTTCGTTTACAGAGTTTTAACCTAAGATGCAGCTGTTCTACGAGTAGAAGGAAATCTTCTTTTTCACCAGCTGCAAAATTTGACTGTTTCTAGATTCACCATTCTCAAATATATGACAAAAATATTTAGGACTGAAAATAAAATAATATTTTGAACACAAAAGTCTATGTCTGAATACAAACATCAACCTTTGTTTGTTGAGTCTCTTCCCTATCTGTGGTAAGCCCTGATTATATTTATTAAATATGAAGTATTCCACTTCCTTAGGAGCAGGACTGGGTCCATGGAGCAGTAGTGGCAGGTGATATTTTCCTGTAGCTGCAGCATTCCTGAACCATCCGAGGGGAATACATGACACATATCTGTGTAGCTCAATTTAATGTGCCTGGTTAGACAAGCACAAATGTTCATGTGCAATGCATTTGCAGCGTGTAGATATTTGTGTCGTAGTATCTTACACAGTACATATCTGAAAGGTAATTGGAGTGTATGAAATCTTTTAAATTGATCATCAGAATGCGTAGAATACTTTTTAAACAGGACAAAAATCTGCTTGTTTTTTAAGTTCAGAAGTTTAACTAAGCTACACAAAAGTGTATTTTGGTAATGATAGTTACTGAGTAATTAAAACGGTTTCTCAATTAAGAATCTATCATTTTTATTAGAATTATAATCTTTAATTTTAACTTCAAATCTTGTTTGTACAACATTATCAGTCATAATCCCATTGTAACAATAATTCATGTGGTGTGCTATTCAGCACTAACCAATTCTCAGAGAACATTTGACTGAGTCACAAATAAAATCTCTCCAGGTTGAAAGTGTTCCATTTGTACCCTGTGAATCTGATCTGGAGATTTTTGGTGATTTCCTTTGCCAATAAAAATAGATCACGTTTATTTTTGGACTCTCAACACTACATTTCTAATTCTCAGACAGTTCTACGAATCACTGATTATATTTTTAAGTCTGAGCTCTAGGAACACACAGACACTGGGCAGCTCCTCAGCTGATGTAAGTCAGCAGAACTCTGCCCTCTGCTCAGCTGGCCTTGTGCAAGAGCTCTCTTATGCTTTAGGCAATTCTCTTTTTCAACGCTTTGATTTCCCTTTGCTATTTCTCACCTCTCTGGAGTAATTTCAGACTATCAGTCCATGAAGTCCTGAGTTATTTTGGGGGCCAGCTTATTTGTTACTCACATTTTTCCCCCCCATGGGACAATATGATGTAGGCTCCAAGCATTGGTTTGCTTTTATATAAAAGAATTAACCTGATCAAAGTGCTCCAAATATGCTCTGTGCAAACAAACTCCTATAAATCTCGAAGCAGGACATAATCTGTGCCCTCCTTTAGCTTTTTTCTGTTCCTGGTTTGTAGGTGTGTTTTTCTCATCCTCATTTCTGTCATGTGGCACCTATTTCCATACATAAACATGTGTATTTTATTCCATATAAATGATCTTGGTGTATGAATTCTTACATATAAACTAGTCCACAAAAACCTAAATGGGAAGGTTCTGATAATTAATATGACAGTAGATGGCTGTTTCCTCCCTTTGATTGCAAAAGAAATGGCCAATTCTTGGCCAACAAATCTCCTTCCCACACAGGAGTTATCTGTGTGAGTGTGTGAGCACGTTTGTGTGTGTGTGTGTGTGTGTGTGTGTATTTTGGAGTCAGTCACGTTCTTTAGGCACTGAAAGCACATCCTGTTATGATGAGGAAACAGCAATTTGGTTGTGTCTTGAAGCAACAATACATAATTTTGGGAAAGTTTCAGTGACAGTCACCAAGAGATTATCAGGCGGCGCTTCCCTAAAGGCACACACACAGCCCGGCCACAGGATTGGAAGGTTCTGAGAAGTCGACAGTCCATGGAGAAATTTGCCCACTCTATTACATTCTCACAGGAATTTGCCTTTTCTTCTGCAATCCCAGACTGGTTTGGGTTGGAAGGGACCTTAAAGCCCATCCAGTCCCACCCCTGCCACAGGCAGGGACACCTTCCACTAGCCCAGGTCGCTCTAAGCCCCGTCCAACCTGGCCTTGAACAATTCCAGGGATGGGGCAGCCACAGCTTCTCTGGGCAACCTGTGCCAGGGCCTTACCAATAGCAAGCTTAACTTTAAGTGAGGTTTAAGTACTCTTGCCTAAAGGCTGGAGTATACCTTCCTTTTATGATATACCCCTTTGGTTTAGGGGTAAATCTTGGGGTACAGATACATTTCTAACCATCCTCTCTTATTTCTCTTCCCAATCCTACCTCTGTTCTTTTCATTAGCTTGCTTGGGGGGTGGTGTGTTGCCAGGTTCCATTTTTGTCAGGTATTGTTATATAAAGAAAAACTAATGTAAGGTAAAAAGCAGATGCCTTTAAAAAGGTAACAATAAATCATTCAAAGTCTGTCAGTTTGCTGCACAGGCTGCCTGAAGAATAGATTTAATGGATCTACATACAACAGAGATTTTCTATATTGCTGAAGTTTTCTTATCTGGCAGAGCTTTGCATCATTTGGAACCAGCTCTATATCGTGGGTAGACTCTACTGATTTCTGTCAAGGAGTACTTTGGTTGTGGGGGAGTCCATGTATATCTTCTCTATAAGTGTTTCTTGATATATATTTTGAGACACAAAGCCTAAGAATACAGCACAGAATGTGACAATGCAGAATATAGAAAGAAGCTGTTGGTTACCATTTGTATTTTTAGACTCCTCATTTCAGGAGAATGCCAAAAGCAAAACTTCAGCAGTCAGATCCAACTATATTATTCCTCATGACATATAAAATAGTGAGACACTTTCACAAACTAGATTAAGAATCATAGTTTATATTGCTGCATGAAATTGCTAAAATCGCATAGAAATCTATATTGTGGATCATAAGTTAATGTAAAAACTCCAAGCTATTTTTTTTTCACTTTGTCTGTTTAAGCTACTGGGCAAGTTGTTGCATGAATAAATTTATTTTCTTCCTCTGAAACTGTATAATATTAAATGCTGTGTTGTTGGCATAAAATATAAGTTGATCAGACAGACAAAGATTATTATTCTGACAACTGTATACACAAGGGTATCGTTGTACATTGAATTTCAGTGTGTAATATGGTATAAATCTTCATGAGAGATTCAACTTTTATTGGCTGCACAGAAGGTGCTTTTCCTTATTAAATACGGGAGATGGTCCCAGGGGATTTTTTTAGAATATCTTTATCCATTTTTTTTTTCAGCTACTCTCTGGGCCCTGGAAGGCTGACAGATACAGTGGGGTAAGCAATTCCCTTTGGAATGCCTTTGGAATGCTTGGCTGTAGATACAGTCACGCTTTAGCATTGAGCATCTGTGATGTTTTGCCTCAGTAGAACCCAGCAGATCCCACCTTTCCCATTCCATAAGTAGATGTGTGTGTGCTCTGCCTGGAGCCTGCAGGACACCAAAAGGCACCTTAATTCAGTGAAATATTACCAATTACTAAAATAACTATGGATCTGCACTTCCAGCTGACTGTTGCCAGTCCCTCATTACAGCTGCTGAGGGTTTTTGGGGCATGGGGACCCTGACAGACCCTCTCATTTCTGGGCATTGCACAAAATGAAGGCACAAGGGCCTAAGAGCCTAACTTCTTGAATTTAAACTACTTGGATTATTTTCCTGGCCAATGCTGGTTTGTCATCTCATCTGTGCCTAGAATTCCATAAGGATGTCTGTGAGGATGTCATAAGCCAAAGGCTGTATCTGTGTGTTTAATCACCCTAGACAGCCTAATCTTGATTTATTTAGCTGTTCCTTATTCAGATTATTCACTACAACCTCAAAAGCTTAGAATTAAAAGTACATTTTTCTAATGTTAAATGATACTTGATTTGCAGTCCTTAATTTGTCCTTGTAGATTAATATAATGTTTCACTATCAAGAAAGACACCACTGCAGAGTTAAAAAAAAAATCTGACAATTTCCATTGTCTATTTCTAGTTTATTCTCTGGCAATAAAATCACCAAATACATTATTCCCATGGCTTTGACTTCACTTCCATTTCACACACAGCCACTGATGTAGGTGCAGAAGTCTTTGGGCAGGAGGTGGGAACAGGTGACCTCCTGAGACCTCATCAATGTGAATTATTCTATCAGTGAGTAAAATCTAGAGTAAGTAATTTCCTTCAGTGAGAGCAAAACCATATATGCACAATTATAAACCTGTTTAAATTGCTTTTTAACAGGCAGCAAATGCCACCACAGATTTTCTGCAGAGATCAAACTTGTGAGTTTTCATCTGAGCCTCCCTCTCTATGGAACCAGCTCTCCAGCACAGCAAGCAGGACACTGAGCATTTCTGTGCTCCATTTAATCCCACAGCCACTTGGCCAGGAGCACCAGGCTGGTGGCCAAGCAGTGTTTGTGGTTCAGTGCTGCTGGGAAAACCTGGAATGAGTTTGTGGTGTCCTTTCCCTACTCCACCTCCCACCAAAAGAACATCAGGCTGATTTTTTTCTTTTTTTTCCTACCTGGTGAAACGTGCTGACGTTATTTGTGAAATGAATAAGTGATACAGGATAGCTGTAGGTTTTATGTAACAGGCTGAACATCTGCAGACAAAATAAAAAATTTTATTTGTCTCCCTCTGGCCTTGTATAGTTCAAACAGACAACTGGGCCAGGATTTTAATATTTCCAAATATATGGCAAAAAAGGCACTTACCCTAAATCACACGACGTGTGAGCAGGAGCACAGACAGATCAACTCATGCCTGACTGAGCAAACAAATCAAGAGCATTGGGCTGGAGAAGAGAGCTGGGAGCAGAGGCCTGAAGAACATGGTGAAAGAGGAGCAAGAGGAAGAAAGTTCTGGGAGTTGTGTCGGTGGTGGGAGAAGAGGCGGCTGTGAGACCCCCCCAGTGCACTCCCTGGTCTTTGGCTGGGCTGGAACAGCTCAAACCAGCAGCAGCTGGACACAGACACTCGAATTTTCCTGGAGTCACTTTGTGGACAAAAGTATGGGATGGTGGTTTTGCTCAGCCTGAAGGTGGAAGATGATTTTGGGGGGGCAGAGCACGAACGGAGGGGAATCGCTCGGCTCTTCTGCCCTGTTCCCACAGCCACAACCCAGAGAATTCCCTCACAGCAATGCCAAAGGTTTGGGCTGAGGATCTGCAGTGTTACAGAGCCAACTGTAATCGAAATTTCAGGGCAGGTTCTGGTGAGAAAGACCCTGACCCCCTCAGCTCTAAGAAGGAAGAAAAGCAGGCTTAAAAGCAAAGGATCCCCTATGGTGCTTCCAAATGTCCAACGGCAGCTTATCACTGGATTAGAATTTCTAAGAAATAAGTAGCAAATCGTGCAGACTTCAGGTTTAGTGCCCTCCTAGATGAGAAACCAGTTTCAGGAGTGAAAAGAATATTTTACAAAAACTTCAAACAATGGCATCACCAAAGAACAAGTACCAATGGATTTGTATATCCAGGAAAATGACTCCAGAAGGAAGACTTTCTAAAATTACTCCTAGCTCTGTGTAATTCAGGGAGATATATGCATATGCCCATGAATTGTTTAACTGTAGAAATGTCTTTTATTCCTGTATAGCAGATGCACAAAGGGAATGGGAATGTTTTATAACTCAGGCTTTTAAATAATAAATAAATGCTGACATTCTCACTTGAGACATCTTGATTTTTGCGTACTGTGTAATACTGAAGTATACAAATATTTCTTTAGAGAGAATTATTTTTCCCTTTTTAAAAAGAGTATAAAACCTCAAGAATATGATAAAACATCACAGTTGGCTTCTAAATGCTTTGCATCTTAATATGGTTGAAGTTAAGGCAGTAAGTAATTTCTGAGTTTTTCCCTTGAGCTGCGTAGTTCTTTTCATATGTAATTATTCTCTGAGTGCATTAGATAATGCTATGGTTCCCACAGCTGTATACACATCTATAAATCATTAATGAGGCAGTTAACTGAAACAAAACTATAAAAGATTTGCATTACCCGGCAGAACCCAGCCTTAATTGACTTCCAGTTATTTACAATTAATTTTTCCATTTGGAATAATGATTTCAAGCAACTTAGGGTTTTTTATGACTGAGGAACGAGATGCTGACTATTCATCAAAAGTTTTTACAGAGGGACCCTGTCAGTGGACAGTAATGAGCTGGAGGTAATCTGATTTTTACACGCACATCCACACCCCCACACTGGTAGAGGAGACAGGGTGGGAGGGGGCACGTGCTGTAAAATGTAGTAAAATGCAGACAGGAGCCAGCACAAACTCTTTTTTTTCCTTTTTATCACATACCTAAGTTTAACAACAATTAATTTCCTTTCTTTATAGCATCCAGCTGAAAGGCAACATGATGCAAAGAGCTGGCTACAGTTCTACATAGAATAAACTGCATGAATGAAGAGTGAGTAAATATTTATTTCTATCTTACAAGACTGTAAGATAGACACTCGGGAATAAACAATGCAAAGGCTGTCGAGTAAATATTATTCCATTATGCTATTTAAAAATTACTTTTATAGAGGTCTAGAGCACAAAGTAAATCCTCATTAAGTTGTCATTGTTTGAGTAAGGCCCAGGATCGGGGCTGTGTGTCAGAACCCTGGACAAGCACAAGGAAAAGATCTGCTCTCTGTGCCATGTAAGCATAACTCTCATTGACATTAATGGGCTGGGGATGTGTTCATCAGGAAGGGATGTCACGTTCGAATTCCTAATAAAACTTAAGTCAAAAATCACCCGGGCCCATTTGCAGCAGCTGATGTTATCTTCATCACCCTGCAGTCCTCCATTCCAAAATGCCTGAGCACATAGGACCCTTTAGTGGTAATTCCTGGTTGTTCTCTGCTTCTGAAGCACAGCAAGAAAATAAGTAAAATCTTATGTATATGGGGATGCACTGTATTAGAACTGCTATCCTTGCAAATCAATCCTTCCCTGAGACTGAGCAGATGATTCCCCCTTGCTACCCTTACTGGATACAAGCTACATAAAATGAACATTTGGGTTGGTTTCTGGTCTCCCCTCAGATAAAGCTGTGATGCTGAGGAAGTAAAATGACCTGCTTTATCTTCTTCTTCAAAGTAACTAATTTTGTTGTCCTTTGAGTTACCTTTAACATTGTCTCTCTCCCCTCACGAAAATTGGCTGCTCCAAGGCAGGACCTGCAGGTGAAACACAGGGAGGGCAGTGTCAATGAGCATTAGGAGACTGGTGGTGTAGACCAAGAGACAAACACTGGTAAATATGGGAGAGTTTAATTCTGAGTGATGGCAAAGGTCTCTGCCTTATCAATGGGTGCCAAAAAAAGGCCACTCCAAGTGATCCAGGAAATGTGGCCCCTGTGACAATGCAACACTGGTAACCTTGAAAATCTTGCAATCTCCTGCTGAAGTCATTTTTCCCAGGTTCTGTTCCGCTGGGCTGTGTTACAATGTGTAAAGGAACGTGACAGGACTAGACATGGGTCATTCAGTCTGTCAGTAATTCCCAGCTTGGCAAATTGGTCCTCCCTCTTCACCAGCCCATGAACTTCACAGATACTTAACTTATTCATGCTACACTGGCTGCTGCATTATTTTAGCTGGAAAAGCTACTTCCATGTGTGAAATCAGAGAGGCTTTTTCTTTGGAAATTGGGCTGGTACCAGAGGAACAAACAATATTATTATTTTCATTAAGATATCACATTCTGTCAACACATAACATTGGCAATTGCATTTCAAATAATAGTATGCTTGACAAATTGTATAGCATTAATTTAGACTGTGCTTTTGCTGTGTCCATGATCCTTCTTACTGGGCTTGATTTCCTGGGGTGGAAAAGGCTCTTTTTGTAAACTCAGAGCTCCAGTAACTTTTTATGCATGGAGATGATATTGCTAACATTGATTTTTTTTTTCAATGGTGCAACTATTTTAAGAATTCTAAAACTGAGAAGTCCACTGCATTTCAGAAAGTATTAAACTGATCAACCACTTCCTACACCAACTCTGATCAGAGTGTGTTGCTGTCTGCCTTCAAACAGTGCAAAACAAATACCCTGGCTTGGGAGTTTCTTGATAATTTGCTTTGAAGAAGCCAACACCAATTTCAGTGAAAACAGAACTTGCATTTGGTGAAAGTTTCTGTTCATTTGAAAAACTAATAACTACAAAAAATATGGAATTTACTTACCAGCTCTGTTTTAAGTCAGGAACCTCAGTCCTGCAGGGTTTCTCCTCAGAGCTCTCACTTTGCCATGGCTCCTTGAGGCACTGGGTTTGGTTTGGTGTCAGAGCCACCACCTCTGAATCTGGGCTGTGAATTAAACACAGTTGCTTTTCTCTTCTTCCTTTATTCTTTCCCTCCACCCCACCCCACGTTAGTATGAGCTGACCATAACATACTAGAAGAAATAAAGAATTACAGTCAGGGAGCAAGGAATTAATTTTTTCCTTTGGAATGGAATCTTGGTATTAAACTACCAGAAAAAAGCCATGAAAGGCATCAATGGCTTTTCCACTGCTTTGCACATTGTAGAGTCATTTCAACATTGTAATACAGGTGTCAAACGTTAATAAATCAGCTGCCAGATGCCATCACACACTTACTTTGCACAGGTGTAAATGATCACATAAAATGCAAAGCACTGCTCTGACACCAAAAATCTCTGTGTACCATTTCTGTCTTCAGCAGCTTTATAGAATTATTAAGAAAATGTCTAATAGGAAGTTTATTCCTTGTTATTTAAGTTACCATCTTTTCTGACTCTACTTTCTTACTTTTAGGAATGTGGTTTGCCCCCCTGCCCCAGCTGACACCCAGGAAGAGAATGCAACAATTTGTATGGAATTGCTTTGGACTGATGTACAAAGAACAATATTATGTTTCATAATTATGTTCCAAATGATAAAGGATTTTTCCTGCCAAAACCTCTCTGTAAGTGCCCCAGCATCATCAACTGATGGCAGCACAGCTCTGGGAATAAACAGACTTTCAGCTAATGGCAGGAATTGTCAGGGGAAACAGCAAACAGGTATTTCTTCCTGATATAGAATGAAACATATGATTAAAGTTAAATGCCAAATCCTACTGGCACTGGAGCGAATTCAGGCTTATTTTTCATTCCTGTTTATTCTTTGCTCTCTTTTTAGCTCATTCATCTTGTTTCATTTAATGCCAATGGTTTTTCCTTTCTATTTGGCCACTTTGGTGGGAGGGGGGAGCAATTCATTTTGGGCATGTGGCTTTGGGTAACAAGATTAAAGCTTCAGGCAAAGCCCAGATCCTAAAATGAGCACTCCATGCTGTATTCAGCCCTCCAAAGGCAGGGGGCAATGCACTGTGACCCCAAACAGTTCTTTACCACAGTTCTGGCACTGTCCCAAAGGAGTCTGTGCCCTGGTGCTGTGGTACACCCACATGCTGTGACACTCAGCTGCTAATGCAGTGTTTAAATCAGGCTGTTTTACAGCAGAAACACTCTTAATAACCTCAATATAAGGTGTATTGCACTGCAATGTTTATTATGAGGGAGCTGCGAGGCAAACCTTGTTATAATGAAACCATGTCTTCACCTAAGAATTCAAAATTACTGAGTTTCTCTCCATTATCTTATTTTAGACTTTTTTTTTGTGAAAAATAAGTATGTCTGGCTCACTAGGGGCTGACTGAGGCACACAATGATTAATTAGAGCTGGACTGATTTTGTATAGTTCAATATGAACATGTCACTTCTCTGGCTGGTTAATCTCCATCTTCCCTCTGACCAGCCAAAACTTATTCCAGAATAGTGGGCACTTGCTGTTTACCAGGAGCAGCAGGTGTGTACATATGTCTGTCTATCTATCTATCTATCTATCTATCACCCATGTAAAATTGTTGTTTTAAAGATAATGACCTTAAACAAGGTGCTGTCCCAGCTGAGTTGTCAGAGCTGGGTTGCTCTTGGAGCTCGTGTGGTGGAAACACCAGCCAGGGAATTCCTGTGGGGAGCTTTGAGCTCTGAAAAGTGAGAAATTACATCTCAGACAGCAAAACTCTCTTTTCCTCCCACAACTAACCCCTCTTGGAGACAGCCAAAGAACTGGTAGATGGTGAAAGGATGTTCACTGCTGCCCAGGGAATACACATTTCAGTGCAGTTTTTGAAAAAGCTGTGCATGCATTTTCAAACATGCAAGGCCAAATGTACTTTTTAAAAGAGTGTAACTATTATAAAGCATCCAATTTGTAAAGTATCAGTTATCATAAGAAAATCTTAATATATGGCTTTGTATTTGCTTTATGTCAACAGAATCATAAAATGAAGATGTAGTAAAACCTTACTGTACTTTTAACTGGAACTCAGAATAATGACAGTATTTTAATAAAATGAGCTCCAAAAAGCACTTTTTCCCTGCCTTAGATTCCCACACCCAAACATTCTTGCAAAGGATGCTCTGTTCCAACAGAAGATCTGAACAGGTTCAGGTCTAATGGCAAGGGTGGCTGCAAGCTGCAGCATTTGTGCTGTGCTGGCACTGAATTGGTTCTTTTCAATTGATTTCTTTGATGTACAAATATAAAGCAGGAGCAAATCATTACCCATCTATAAATACATCATTATAAAAATACTTTTTTCCCCCTCCCTCTCCATCCCATCTTCAATTCATCAAAGACGTCCCTATTTGCAGACAGACCTAAAGTCAAACTGCTTATTAACAGTGATTTTAGAAGTGCCTAAACATTTGTAGTATGTGCTAAAAACTATGAGAGCACATGACCTGGCTTAAAAAAAAACCCTCTCTGAATTCCTTTCAGTCTCTGTCCCTCCTCACCCCATCCCAGCAAGGACAGCAGTGCGGGTGGACGCTGCAGGACCGCAGCTGGAAGCAGCAGTAGGAAAGTGGGAAGTGCCTCCATCAGCATCGTTGCCAAATGTAACAGATCCAAGACCAGGCTGGGAATTGTCCCGTGTGTATTTAGGGATCAGTCTGTGCACAGGCACAGGAGTGGCTGTGGAGATCATCTGAGGACGTGAGGGAAATTTGCAACAATTCAGGTTAGCCCACATTTTGTCACGGTACCAAAAATCGTCAGTAAATACATTTATTAATGGGCCACTTACTTGCAGGTAGCAATTACTTAGAGCAGCTCAGGTTTTAATGCACAGCCTGCATTTCCAAAGGAGAGTGTTCTCGCTGGGCACTGCTATAGATCCACGATTCACGTGGAGATTGGTCACTATTGATCCTGCTGGGGTTTATTGTGGCAGCAGTTTGCATTACACAGGATTCACAACAGGGCTGCAATAGTGGCCATTAACCTGCCTGTGTTTAGCCAAGATCACCTTGTGTCCAGCCACCACCAGCTCTGCTGGCACCGAGCCATTCCAAAGGCCATTCCCACAGAAGGCGATGCTTTGTAGGGACCCAGAGCTGTCAGAGGCAGATGCAGAGGGGCTGTGGGTGCTGCACCCCGACCTTGGCAGTGCCCCCCAGGCTGCAAACACCCCCCCAGCAGCCCACACCCTGCAGAAGATGGGCTGTCAGTGTCCCTCTGCTCCACATCCAAAAACAAACCCAAAAGCCAAACCCTCCCAGAGCTCCTGGCCCTCCCTGGGTACCAGCACTGCAGCAGCTGGGGCTGTTCAGCTCATGGCCTCAGGTGAGGAGGAGTGTGGTGTTGAAGGCTGAAGTGCCTCCTGCCCTGCTCCACCCCGGGATGGCTTTAACATGTTCCTTCCACAGAAAGTGCTCGTCAGACTGTGCTCCTTAGGCTGAACTGACACCAAAAACCTCAGTGCTTTGGTCTGCCAATACTTATCAGGAGCCCCCTAGTAAGGACTGGACACATTCAGTCTCTCAAGTTCATGAGTCTCCTAAACCTTATTTGTCAGTACTTTGATGTTTAAAACTAGTCTGGGATGGGCAAAGCAGAAATCAACATAGGCTTTCAATGCTGCCTCCTGTAATGTGTACATCAGCCACTGAGGAAAAAAGTGCTCAAACTGCCTTTATGGAGATTAAGGAAAAGTGCAAAAATGCTGGTATTTTAAAGAATGAACTATTTAGTTACTTTAAGTCTTTCTAAACTCACGATACTGGATAATGCAGCAAAGATCTCCCTTCTCAGGAGCACTACCAGCACCATCAGTCAGAAACGCTGCAGCATCCCAACGACTGTTTCAACTCCTTTGTAAAAGGTAAGATTTAGACATAAGGTCCAACCCTCACTTCAGAGAATCACAATGGAATTGAAACTAAAATTAATATATATTCAAAGGTGGATTCAAGTTCGGGTGCTGCAGTGTTTTAGTCACACACAAGCTTTTATTAAGGGTCAGGAGGACTCACAATTCTTAATCCTCCTGTTTCTTTGCATTATTCAAGTTTTGATTGTTTGATCAATGGCAGAGTGATTAATGCAGTTATTAGAACACCTGCTATAAAATTACTAGGGAACAAACCAATTCTGTACACTGAAAGAATATTCTGATAAGTCCTTTTATCACCGGTAAAACAGAGGCTAATATTTTCTTGAACTGACACTGGTTAAGCTAAAAGATTTCTTTTAGGAACAAAAAAAAAAATCAGGTGATTCTATTCTGCTGTGTCACAGAGCACAGTCTGACTGCAGAAGTCTGCTAACGAGAAAAAAATGTAGTGCCAAAAATAAAAGAAATTTTGAAAATTATACATATAGATGTAGACAGGAATAAACATAATCACAGGGAATAGATACCCTATCACTCTATTTAAAGGTCCTTTTTGTTTTTAAGTGACAGTGATTTAATTCAGGGCATGTGTGTGTAAACATGGAGTTTTTAAGTAAATAAGCATTGTGCCTTTGACCCAGGGATGAAAGTAAAGAGGGAACAGGTGATCACTTAAATTCCACCTGACTCAAATCACCTTTCAGTCCCATGTTTTGAGAAGGGAATGTTTCAGTTGCAAAGTTCAGAATTTGGAACATACAATAATTATTAGGAAAATGTTTAATACCAACCCACCCTCTTTATTAAGTCATTTCTTCAAGTATTTTTAATAGTGCAAAATACTGGTTTGCATTAGTACAGTTACTATGGGAATTCACAGTCCAAAAAAAAAAAATCTTAAAAGATTTCCAAAGTCAAACAAAAAACTTTTTAATACTGTATTTTTAGCAAGAACATTTTTAACAAAGAATGTGTACTTTAACTTAATATGGTACAACAGAGAAACCATACTTAAAAGTTTCCATTATCTAACACTCTACTGCATATTCATTTTTCCATCTTAAAAGACCAAAAGCCAAGCTGAACTGAGCATTAAAAAAAAAAGCATCAATTATAATCCTCATATTACGTCAGCTATTAGGGTTTAGCTCACACTTTTGAATTGGTCATCTAATGAAAGGACAATTTTTACATCGTTCTTTTAAAAAATGTACACACATTTCTTTTTAAAACGTAATATATATCGAGTATCTGCTTCAGTAAACAAAGCTTAATTTATAAACACAATCGAAACAGCTCCATGTTGAACAGTTTCAGTGATAAACTGGACTTGTTTGATGTACAGCCAGTGCAGGACCGGTGTGGCTTAAAATCATTGTGCCTTTGCTATCCAGTAATAGCCACCTCCTAAGGAAAAAAAAAAAAAGTTCTTTTTGGGATGGGCTGGGGAGGGGGAATAATTCCTGTATGTGCTTAAAAATACTAAAACTCCTTTCTATCTCCGGGGACCTAAAAATGATCTGTTGTAACAGGCTTGGTTTGGTATGGTAAGCTTGTAAAAAGTCTCAGGATGTCTTAATACGGCAGTTTTTCAATGCAGCAACAGTAAATTGCTTGGAATTGTCCTTCAAGTTTCATGCTACAAATCCTGTTCCTCACACAGTACTGAAGGCATCAAAGGTTGGAAGGGACATTTCTCAGGAACTATATAGTCTTCAGATAGTGGTCATTATACATTTTTCAACAGTAGGTGGTTCCTTCAGTACATGATGGTCGGTTTGATGTATGTTCTGTTTTCTGGAGGGGAAAAAAAAATGACACAGTTAAAACATTTTATAATTAACTGACACTTTGGTGGCTTCCTCACTCGTTTGTGGACCTCTTTTTAGTTCAAGCCAGATGATCAGATCTATAAATGATATAAACTCTCCATCATGTGAGCATGTTTTATACAGGAAAAGGAGGCGCTGGGTGACAAAACCCAGCCAAGCCCTCAAGAAATGAATGTTTGGCAGAGAAATGAGCTGCCTCAGGGCACTGGTCACCTCCCAGCTCAGGGGCAGGTGTGGGTACTGAGCTGGGCCCAGGACCCACCAGCCCTGCTTTTCATGGTGTTTTCCAGTCAGCAGCTGCTGACTGCAGGCTCTAAATACCTTGATTTGGATTTTCTCCCTTTATGGCTTTTGCTTTTAACTGAACACTCATTTTCCTCCTTTTTTTTCCAGAAGGCAGCCCGTGTTGGATTGCCTTCCTCCCTAGGACAGAGCGAGTAACATGGCACCAGCTTCACAACAGACCCTTATCACATGCACAGAACCTGCCAGGGAACAGGGTGTTAAACCAAAACTGCAGTGCTTTAAGAAAATGTAAATCGAGATCTGTTCTTAGAAAACTGTTCTTTCATTCACAAACCACCACGTTTCGTTTCAAATTCTATTTCTTTATTTAGAGAATGAAGTAGAAAAACACTTATTTCCTTCATAAATATATTCCTACTTATATTACCTATCAACTGTGATTTTTCACATTAAGCAACTTCAAGCCCAGAGAAAAAAAATAAATATTGAAATGCCCACAGAAACTGAAGCTAACAAGAATCCATATTCCTGTTCATTATACAATGAATCATGAATCCACCCAGCTAAATCTGCAAGTACTGATCTGGAAGATGATAGCAAAATGATAATATGGAGAAGCATTTTGTATAATGTTGACATCTCTCCCATTACTGTTTTACATATGCCAATACTGAACACTCCTAAGGATCGAGGAAGTATTGACCTGCTAACTGACACTGATCCTCGGAGCAATCTCCAAGTTTGCCACATTTCAATTTCAAAATGCATTTCAGCTATAATATGAGTGATTTATCATTTAGCAGTAGCTGTCAAAGTAACCTCCTAGATAAAACAAAAACATCTGGAACCATAAACAGAGGAGAGCAGTAGCTGAATTTTAATCCAAATCCGACATGTTCACTTCATTAGGAACAGGAAACAGCTAATTAGTAATTGAATGTTTCGTGGTTTTAAGGAGGCTCAGACTCTCCAAACCAAGATGATTTAATATGTATTTTGGACGTAAGCACAAATAAAGATCGGAAGAGCCAGGGACATAACAGCTCCAGAGGAACATTTGGGAGCATGGGAACCTCCAAAGAACTGACTCAAATTAATTTGCTTTAAGTCTTTGGCTGATGAAAATTATTGTCTTAAACTTAGTGGGGGAAATACGGAAGCCTGGGGAGGGGGTGAGCAGAAATGCAAGTATTGGATACTGTGGGGTTTGTTTTTAATTTCTCTCCTTGTGATCATTAAGAAGCTGCACTTGACACCTTCCCAGTGCAGGCTGTTCTTGATATTTCTGTTATATTTTAAAAAATATTTTTCTAGCTAAGGTGAGAGGTGGACACTGAGGGTACTGAGTGCTGAAGGACTGACTAAATTTCAGAACAGGTTTCCATATATCCTTCCAATTTCCTTCAATTCTCTAGGAAAGTTCAACAGAGGTATCTGGAATACCTGTAAGAGACAAAGTAAATGCCACAGCTCAAGCCCAGTGCAGCCACCCAGGGGATGTCAGTGATCAGTGAACAGAAAGTGCACAGTTAAATATTTCCTTTTTTACAACGCTCTCAATTATTCTCCAGAAATTAAAACACTTTTTTGTTGCTGTGCAATAAACTGAACTCCATGGCATTAACCACGTCACACAGCAACCACCTCTGAGGAATTAACGTGTTGGGAGCAGCTGTGCCCCCACTTACACAGGAAAGACAATGTGATGTTGTCAAATTAATCTTTTCTGGAGAATATTCACCATCTCCTCAGTGCAGCTGACTGCAAGCTACAGACCATTTTATAGCATTTTACTGTATTATATAGCAAAGATTTGAATAAATCTGTGTGCAATAAACGTATTCTTTTATAAGGTTTATCCCTTAATCAAATATTCATTTATGTGGGCTTCATTCTATTAAAAACCGAAATTATACAAAGGTGAGCAAAAGCGTAGATTTACAGTAGTTTAAAGCCTAATCTCATTCTCCAGGGGTAATACTGACAATATAAAAACTGTATAAATGATATTCCCTAACACTAAATATGCTTATGAGCCCCCTGTGCATGTTACACTGCTTTACAGCCTACAGAGCAATGCATGACTGGCTTAATAAGCAAGACATTTAGAAGGGATTTTTTTCCCCTTCACAATGTGTAAGACAAGTAAAGATCTCAGAGTTCCTTGGTGAGCCAGAGCCTGTGTTAATAATTACTGGAATTTTCCCTCAGGATGGCGTTCTCTTCCCTGAGTTGTTAGTCCAGGGTATATTCAGCTCTTGCACTCTTTTTAGCCACAATATCATCGTTCAAGGCTTTAATGTGTGTATAACAGACAAATCCAAAGGCAATAATCATCACCTGCATATTTATTCACGTTTATTTTGTTTTCTTTTTTCAGCCTATTCAACATCTCCTAATTTTCTGAATCCTTTTTGAGGCTCTGGTTGTAAGACCTCTATTTAAAGTTGAGAATTCGGCTGTATTTCAATAAAACTACTTTAAAACCAAAACTGTGTACCCTCCCAGTGTGCCCTGGCAATGCTGGTGTGCAAACCCAGTCCAGGTTGGGGAGCAATGCACCACAGCTACACCCTGGGATTGCCAGGTAACTGTGGCACACTGTAAATTGGTAAAAGGAGGAAATTTGGGATCTGCTTCGTAATGAGAAAACCAGGATAAATGTGTTGTATCAGTAACTGTTTATAAAATACACCCCAGCACTACAGGTTGTAGAAATGAAATAATAAACTGGAAATGCCACTTTGCCAACTGAGCTGGAGGAGGAGCTGGGAGAGAGCTGGAAAACAGGGCAGGTGGAGCTGGGACCCGGCAGTTTCTGTAGCCAGAGAAGGGGAGAAGGCAGCCCTGTGCCAGACAATGCACTCTCAGAGCCTTTGCACAACTCCTGCTGGAGGGGCTGGATCCAAGAGTCTGACAGGACAACACAAGTATCCTACAGGACAGGAGTTGATCTCTCCACCCTTGCCAGGCTGTGTGAACAGCACCTCAGTTAGATCAGAGCCAAGCCCAGCTCTGGATGCAGCAACACGTGGGAAATAACAATAAATTAACTTGCAAACCTGGGGCTAATTAGTTTGAACCAGTCTCTCATTTTGCAGAAAGAAAAAGAAAAAATGAGAGAACAGTTTGGTTCTACTGTGGATCACAGCCCTCAGAAAACCCTCTTTCCCTAACCCTCTTAGCAGACAGGAGTCCTGCCTGCCTGGAAGGAGGCTGCATCCAGGCCTCTGCTAGTGGGTAAGGGCCACAGCAAAGGATCCCTTCACTACCACGATAAAAAAAAGACCTGGCTTGCAGCCAGTTCTCATGGATTTGGGCTGGTCACTCAGCTGAATGACAACAGGAAAACTGACTTCTTTGCCTGCTTATTAGTTGTCCAGTAGAACTTCTCCCTTCCTTTTATCTGCAAGTATTGTCCAAACTGAGCATCCAAAAGTAACACACGTTGAGCAGGGCATGGCTTCCTCCAGACCCATGGAAGAACCTGGACAATAAATGGTGCTTCTGCAGCAGTACTAAACAACTTTGGTTTGCTTTCTTTTAACCCCTCACACTTCCCTATGGCCTCTTTCCACCCCTGCTGATGTGCACTCTGATGTCCAGTGCTGCCTGGACATCTCCTCCCTACAGGCAGGAGCACGCTTGCCTGACCCTCCAGTGCAGCTCACTCACAGACCTGCTGGTTTAAGTTTTCTTCCTCACTTATTCTGTGCTTAGGACTACCCTAACATTAACAGAGATGAACATTAACAGAGATGAAAACACTTGTACTAAAAACAGGATTTCCAGTAAGTAACAACAGCCAAGGACAAGCTCACTGAGCACAGACCATGCAGATGCTGGATTGCCACAGTCAGTTTGAGCAGACAGGGAGGTAACAGTGGTTAGTGGTTCCTGCTCAGCAAATATTCAAGCAAACAGACACTGAATTACTGAATAAATGTTTTAGCCCTTTGTAAGGACAGACAGGTCCAGATCTCCACGCTCAGTGGTCTTCTGGGGAAACCTTTACCCACCTTCTGTTTCATGTAAATCACAAAATCTCAGCGCCCTCCCTCGTATGTTTGTGTGTACAGGCTTACACAGAGAGAGACACCCAGAACAACACTGTGTGCCAAAAGGAAAAACAGCACTGAGACTAAAATGACTCAGCCAGGGCAGGCACCTCATGGCTCCTCACTGAACAGGGCCCTGCTCTTGGGGAGCAGAAGAGCAGCTCTCAGCCACACTGGCTGCTGTGTGCACGGGTGTCACAGTCTGGTAGCTGCGTAGGAACTTGAGAAGAGTTCTTCTAGAAACACTGCACAAGGTAACTACTAAGGGTTTAATAACACAGAGCATCCAGAGCAGGACATGCACCAGGGACAGAGCCCAGCTTGGGCAGGAGGAAGAAGAAAAGACCCAAGACTCAAACGAAGAAGGATGGATTTATAAACTGAGTGGCTGGATCAGAATATTGAAAAAATATGGCACAGTTTTCTTCATTATAAAACCCCAAATAAGTTCCAAAAATCCAAAAATAAAAAGTTACTCACTTTTTAGTAACTGAGAGGTTTTGTGCCAAATCTCTGCCAGATTATTTCACAAAAAAAAAGCAGCAGCAGCACCTGCCCTGAGTCGTCTCCTGTTGCAGGTACAGTGAACCATGTTCTCACCTCACCTGTCTTGCCTGTGCTGCTGCCTCCTTCTTGAAATGCAGAGGATTTTATTTTTTTGTAAATTGTTATCATCAAGTATTACAGTAACATCTAATTTTTAAGATTTTAAGCTAACATTGCTCTGCTGATTGTTCCAATATCCCCTAACAATGAAATATCGTAATACAAAAGTTAACTAAGGTATAAACATGCAAAAGGAGAAGTCTCCCTGCGATCATAAAATGATGTTATTTTCTGTTCAGCAGTTCATGTTACTGCTGTTCATGCTAATTAATTAAAGGAGCTGTTGCTGTAATGTGCAAACAGGGAATCTGAGAAACTGAGAGGGCTTTTAGGTCTCGGAGTGAAGTTAAGTCAATCTGGGCGCGGGCAATCAAATGTAATGAAATCACTTGTCAGTGCTAAGCTTGCAAAAACTGTGAAGTTTGACTAGGGAGTAAAAGGATTATAATTAGATTTCCAATAGGATAATAACTAAATGGCAGAAAGCAGTAAAGAGAAAATATTACTTTGTTAGCTAATGGTGCTGCTGTTCGGTTTTAGTTTTTATCAGCACACTTGTAGTTGTGCTAATTTAATTTGCTTTTATCAGCAAAAATGCACTACTCGAATGGTACTTGAATGTCATTTGCAAAAATCATTGATCTGAAGGTGCACTTAATGACATCCAGTATGTTTATTTTATGTGAAAGGGAGACTGGTTGATAAAATGCTTGATGTGCTATCGTGCTGGCCCACGAGTGAGCGATGCAAGGGGAGCAGGAGGGTGTCTGTGTGCTCATCACCCGCTCCTACTCTGCAGGAGTTTCATGACCACTGCAACTACTGCTGTTCTGTCAGCTAAAAACCTCCCAGATCAAGTTCTGAACTAGAAGATTCAGTATATGGAGGGTGGAGGTATCAGACTGTAAAGTACAGAAAAGTTTCAAGTCTCATCTGCGTGAAATTTCCGTTCAATTAATATACAAAGCAGAGAGAAAATGAGTCAACTGAATGGAAAAGATTTATAATGCAGATCAGAAATGCAGTACATGAACAGCTTGTGTTAATAAAATCATTTTAAGAAATGAGCATAAAATATGATATGACTTAATCACTGTGAAAGGTGGCTGTGCAGTAGTTCTGTAATTTTCCTTTAAACCGTCTTAAGGAGCTACTGGCAGTGGAACTAATTGAATTTCAAAGGAAAGGCACCGTGTGAATGATAGATTTCTGTCCAGCAGAGCTATTGACAACAGAAAAAGAAAGGTCTGCATTGATGCTAAAGCCTTTTTCTGTGCAGTAGAGAGAGATTTTGGAAGCTTGGAAGCAGCTTTGTATTAGGGACATGTGTTTTGACCCTTCCTCCTCCCAGGGCCCGAAAAACAAAGGTGGTAAATGAAGGGGCAATGAGGGAGTGTGCTCGAATTGTTAAAGCTGGCAGTGCAATAGTAGCTGTCAGGAACACAAATGGGAATCAAAGGGAAAGAGAATAAAAAGTTATTACAGTATCAGCATTAAAAAAAAAAAATGAAAGAGACGGTGCTACAGGACAGAAACACTTTGAAATCTAAACAAGCTCTACCGGGAGCTCTTCAGAAACACTTTTATCAGCTGAGATGTGTACTGACCAACTGGCTCAGCTGCTCCCCACGTTTCCATATGAGCAGAGAGGTCAGACCACTGGAGCTGCCAGTCCCTATGGTGGGAAAGGAAGGGAAGGGAGGCTTTGCTATGGAGGGCCATGGGACAGGGCTGCAGCTCCCACTGCACAGGTCATGCCCTGAGCCCACAGGCACTGAACACTGTGGATACACAGCTGTCCCTCTGGCCAGGCGTTTAACCTGAACAAACACTTCATGAGCCAAAGCCTGTTACAACTAAAGAATGATGTTGTTGGGATCAGATTAAAAGAAAAGGGGGGGAAAAAAATCCCCCAAAACAACCTGAAATAAAAATGGTAAAATCACAACATTTTTCTGTGTATTAATAAACTACTAAAGGTAATATAAGAGAGTTCTCTTAATTCCTTTAAGTAAATGGTTGTTGGAATTGGCTATGCATCACTTTCCTCACAGTATTTTTAATCATTTTTGATGTGAAGACACATTTGAGCCAAGTGTAATTTTTTTTCTTCAACTGAAAACTGAAATTACCTTTCTTTTCTTTACAAGAGTCTGCCCAGATGTACCTTTGACTCTCAGAATTGTTTTGGAAGAGCACTGAGCACTCATTCCAGCAGGTATCATGAATAGAGCAGAAACAAGAACATTTTGCCTGTCAAATTTAAACACATGTGTCCCAACTGCTTATCCAACATTTAGACTATCTCTGGCAGCAGCAATTTTCCAATTGCAAAATTTAGAGCACAACTCTAATCATCTGTGTACATATATATATATACACACACATATGTTATATGTATATATAGGCTTTACAATAAAGCTGTGATTCTCCTTCTCTGTAATACAGAGCATATGAACCTAAAATCACAAAAAAGAGACAACAGTAAAAATATTTGAAAGCTTTCCTGTACGGATGACAGATGGACGACAGATGCACACCAGAGGTATGTGAAGTCAAGCCTTCACCAGTTGAGAAATGCTCAAGTGAGGTCTGTGTCTGTAACTGCACTGCAGCCCTTCTTCTGTCTGCACAGAAGGGACCGTCTTTAGTTACCTCAGCACACGGTATTTTTGCACATTGCCATTACATGATGCCGTAAAAAGGGTGGAATTGCTCCTAGAACAAGCAGATATACTGAAAGAGGCAGCAGCCAGCACAGAACTGAATGGTCTGGAATGAATATGGCACAGGACTGAAGGGAGAAAAAGGCTGGTTTTACAGAAAAGCAACTCTACAAACTGGACTTTCTCTAAAGTTACAGAATTTCAGTAATTGCTCAGACCAAATTTTATCACAGGTGACTGTGTGGCTCAAACAGGCTTCCAATGGTACTGGGAAAATCCCTTAGGACTCTGATAGCTCAGGTCCCCCAAAGGATGATGAGACAACTCCTTACACCACGACACATGTATTACTCTTTGGGAAGCACTCAGACAGTGCATGTTGGTGCTGAACAGTGAGGAAAAAGGAGCACTGGTTAACTTAGAAAGTGAACATGGCTTTCTTTCTTCACCTACACTTCATGTATTTTCTGAAAACACTTGTGATCTTGATAGGTAGGATCAAGTGAAGTATTTTAAAAAGACACATCAAATGTAACCCCCCTTTTGAACTAAGAGCATATATCTGATAGATAAATATGAGGTTCTCACACCTGTACTTAAACAAAGTTGATTTCTGGTCTTGTTAAGTACTGATCTTACACAGTTTTCTATATCAAACAGGAAAGCAAACTGAAGTTGTATAATTCACATTTATCTTAAAGCAGAAAAACAGATACAAAAACGATTCTGCAACACATTTAATTTTTACTGTGGCTCACCACAACCAGGTAGGTGAGGGGCTGTGGTACATACTGCACCTTGCATTGCTGCACTGTCATGTTGGGTTCCGTTGTGTTCTATTTCCATATCTGGGATTCCAGCATCTGAAAGATGTGAGACTGAAGATTAATGCATTCCCCTTTGCCCCTCTCTCATGCATCTTTAGAAAAATATTTATAGCAAACTAGGGTGATCTCCAAGTTACACGGTCTTGCATAAAACATTTGGTCCTCATAGAATTTTCAGTAGTAAATTGTTTCCAAAATGTGCAAACATTGCTGGTCTCACAGTGAATTATTTTTAAAGTGCTTCACATTTGTCTGACGATCGGATAATAACCAACACGTGGTATTAATATGTCTGTAAAAGCCTCTTGGACAACGAGGGCATCTGACATATGAAAAATAAAAGTCAAAATTAAACTGCTTAATATTAAAATACATTGACTCTCCTGTACAGCCAAATACCTTCAAATTAAAGAATTTAAGAATACATTCAGTGCCAGGCAACAGTTTTGTGTATGTGTGTGTATCAGTTTGTGTGAGTGCATGTTACAGATAAGGGCTGTGCAAATTGCATTTAAAACCTCAGCTCAGGCTGTGTAAGCACGTGTTACCACCCAAACCCAAACCACATCTGTCATACTGTGTGAAATATTTCCTGATTTCTAAGAGCTTTCCAAAGAGGACTGTGCCCTTTCTTCCAAGTTGAGAAGGAGTCTCCTAACGATACTCACTTTGGAACTATTTAATTCCATATTGACAATACTTCTGTCTGCACAGTCCTTGGGGTGGGGGCAGGGGCTCCAACACCCCAGGGTGTTACGATAACAGATGCCATTATCCACCTTGTGCCAACAAGGATTAGCATGAAGGGTATGTGATTTGAATCCACGGCACCTCAAATCCTGGAGAAACATCTGCTTCCCTTATAATACAGCACTTAGAAATCACAGCAAGGAAAAACCCACACCTGAAAGGGAACTGTGTGTACAGTTTGGGAGGTTTTCTGTGCAAAAGCCTGTACTGGACTTTCTCAAATAGGGAATAACTGCACTGTTGCTTTTGCAGATCCCTTTAGTTGGAGCGTCAGTATCTGTCACAGGTGACATTTTGCTGGTCACCCCACAGTACCATAGCTCTGTGTCAAGCAGGACAATCCTGCAAAGTCCTTACACAGGAGGGTAATATCTTAATATACGAGTAAATGAAATATAGGCCACGTACGCATATATAGCTCTGTAAAGACATATGATTAAAAAGTAATATTTTCACATATATACAATTTTTTCTTATAAAATTGCAAGTGACTGCTATTCCATAGGGTTTCCCTTACTCAGATTCCTGTTTTGAAGGCAAGCCCAGGGCACTGATCTATCAGTCTGAAAAGGTTCTTTCTTTTCAAACCCTTCAGAGTTCATGTTGTATATACAAAAAATGACAGTCATCTGTAACTAATAACAGCATCTGTTAAATGAGACAGACCGTCAGAGTTAAATCAAAAATACTCAGAATAGCCCTTCACATTTTGTTGTCATAAAATTGTACCTGCAATTAAATTGTGGATTAAGATGCTAATGAGCTACCTGATTTGCATGTGCAATCAGATTAGCATGTAAATATCAGCCTCTAGCAGGCACTAACACATATATGACTACCTGAGTGTGCCTGCAAATCAAACTGTTACAGCCAGGCCCACACCAGCAGATGTAAAGGTGTGTTAATCACACTGATGGCACGTTGGCATCCCTGGATTTGTGGCTCCAGAACTGCTGGGTGCTCCTGACTGGTGTGTGAGCAGCAGGTGCTTCCCTGCAGTGGCACAACCTGGGTGAATGACCTTACAGTACACCAGGATTTTGGCTGTTTTCTGACATTCATCTCAAGGTGCTGGCTCTGACTGTGGATCCAATGTGGGCATTTGTCTGATCCAGAGGAGGAAAAGATTTCTGCTGGCTCTGTCCACCCACTCTGCCCTGGGTCCCTGTCCCTCATCATGGTGCGACTGCGGCTGTAAATCCACACCTGGACCAGCCCCGGGCACTGTCGGGGCTCCAGGAACACCAGCCAGGCCCTGCTCACAGTGATGTGCTGGGCTGGAAACCCCAGCAGATGAGGATGGCTCTGAGAGATCCTGCTCTCCTGCTCACTGAGTTTATGTCTCTTGGGTGCTCCAGATAAACCACAGCTCGCAGCCCACCACGGAGTGAGGTGCCAGCTCACAGAGACAGCCTTGCCCTGACTCTAGAGAACAGTCTGGGCAGCCCTCACAGCTGAGAACTCCACCCAAACTACAGTCAGCATTTTCACTCAGCAGTCCGGGCAGTTTTTGGTTGCAGGCTCTAGCAGTGCCCAAATCAGGCAGCACAAATTAACAGACAGACCACAGGACACACAAACACAGCACAGCCTGAACATCTCTCTGATTCCTGAGCCTCTGCAGAGACTTCAGGGTAGGGATGCACAGACTAAACCTTAGATACAGAACGTGAAATTAATTAAAACTCAACTAGGTTCAGTCTTAAAGATTCAAAGCAAAGCTCTAAACTTTGACCAGAACCATCTGAAGCAGGAGAGGCAAATCCTCCCAGTATTTAGAACATAAGCACTGTGTAGGAGATGAACTGATTTGCTTTTGTCTCAAAAGAATATTTGGGAAGTATTCAAAACCCAGTCAGCTCTGAAAGCTGATACATATTTAACAAACTTAATAGGTCCTGAGGCTGAGCAAACTTCAGCCAAATGGCTTTTAAAATGAAGCTCAGCAGTTCTAAAAATGAATCTGCTGGGAGAGAAGAGTTCAGAGAACCTTATAGGAACCAAATTTCACATTGTCTTAGCTGGCACTGTAACAGATTTCTCTGTAATATATTCAGCATTTCTTGTCATCTCTGTGTAAACTGCTCTGTCTGTTTCTCTACTTGCAGACTTATTAATTTTTTTTAATTCATGACCCAGAGCACATGGCCTGAAATAGATTTTTTATTATTTCAGGAAAGAATTGTGAGGTTTCATTCTGGAATTTGCTCTGTGCATCATCTTATTTTTTTTCTCCACTCAATTAAACATCATTTTAAGCTGACTGTGAAAGGCCAACTAAGACATTACCATTTAACATCCTGAGACCGTCACCTGATGTGGCCTGTTTAAGCGCCTGTTCCACTTGTTCTCTCCTCTTAGATTCAAATTCCAAAGCTTCTTGCAATTTTCTCTTTGCCTTCTTTTCTTTCTTCAAGCGTTTCTGAATTGTTGCTGAAACGTAAATACATTGTAAGAAAGGCTGTTAAGGTACTATTAATAAATGACCGAGACAGTAAAAAATTTGTTTATGTTCAATACTCAAAGGCCCAGTTCTAGCTCGAGACACTGACACTCCTCATGGATGGAGGAAGTCTCCTGAATGTGTCGAAGATTCAGTTTTAGGTATATCTTCTAACATTAAAAGGAAGTGGAATTTATTTTTGTAGGTGAACTGTCTGTGTGCAGTGGAAGAGAATCTGAATCTGAGAATACTGAGGGTGCAGAGAGTGAAATCCCAGGGAATAAAGTGGTAATTTTGGGGGTAAAAATGGAGCAGCAGTTGGGTTCATTTTGAAGCAGAATAACTGAAATATCAAGAACCTCTGCCCAAGACAGAAGCCAGGTGTAAGGCCACTGACACGCTGAGTTAGGTGGGTAAATAAGACACACTGAGAAGGGGGGTGTCATCTCATCTTCTCTCTTTTACCCATGGAAAGCAGAACCAGGGCCTTGACAAAGATCATCCTCAGGCCCCTGGTAGTGCCATGGCAGATTTGGCAGAAAACAGTATTCCTGACTAACCTCAGTCTTAAAGCCAACTATAAAAGCTAAAACCATAACTAGAGAATTGTACAGTATTAATTGTAGCCAGATGATCAATATCTGCATGGGGAACTGCTGACATTGGCTATGATTGTACTCCCTCACCTACATAAACTCAAGCAATAAAATGCACCTTTTAAGCCTTTTCCTTTTCAAACCCTGAATCTTAATCCAATATTTACCATTTTTTTTTCTCCAGTCCCAAGTTACCAGTACTGCCAACAGCCTCCCTTCCCGTGCTCCTGTGGCTAATGGACTGTCCTTACTGTCCTTATTAACCTGTCTTTATTGGTTTCTTACACCAGTGCTGCAAACACACTCTCTTGTGTCTCTTCTTTGCACGACCTGCACCTCCCTTCCCTGGTAGGATCTCTACAGGCCCATCACCACACTTCTGCTGAGTCTATCCTGTGTTCAGGAAATCCTCTCCTCCTGAGAGCACCCCATGTTCCAGGAGTCTCTGATCAGCTGGCACCTTGGATTGGCACAAGAAAGATGAGCTGGACCAGAAGGCTGATGCCCATGTATGTTCTCAGAATTAGCAGGAGAACATTTTTAGCAAGGTCTGGAAGAAGTCAAAGACCACTGAATTCTTACTGACTTTTACAGAGCTTTCTGGATTTGTGAATGCTCTAGGAAAAATTAAAGGATACCATTGCATGGGAAATCTCTGAGGGACTTAATAAATGATGAATGGCTAAATGTGATCCACAGAACCTAACTTTGAAAAACTGGCCAGCCACGTGAAAAAGCCTCTCTCTGGTATATATTCTGTAACAATAAAGATGTGAACGTGGTGATGACCTGAAAGACAAACAATTCTGATGATATTGATTATTGGTGAAATTCTCTTTCAAGTCAGAAGCCAACAAAGTCTGTGAATGCCTTAAGGTTTTTGGTGACTTAAATGTGACTCAGGAGGTGCAAGTGTGCTGTCCTAAGGTTTGGTTTACAGAAAGACACAGTGCCATCCACACTTACACTGGGGTGATGCAACATTTCTGGACACCCACTGCAATTTAACAACTTCAATAGTATTTTCTGACCCATCACTACTCAACTGAGAAGTGCCCTTTGGTGTCTCTAAGTGAGACCTGGGCTGCAGACAGCTCTGTTCCACACACCTCATTTCCACTCAAAATGCACAGGAAGATAGGACTTGGCACCTACATTTTTGGTCTTATCTAGTTTTATCTTTCTGATTTCATGGATATAATCTAGAAGTAGCTCTTGGCACATGAAGTGCTGTTCCTTTCTTTCAGATGCAGATCTGAATTTTAAAAAGAATACTGCCTTCTTTTCAACAGCACAGCGAGAAATTCAGATTTACCAATTTAATTGCCTATTATTATCAAAAGCTTCCAAACAGTCATGGTTTTGTCTTAGAAGGCCCCATTTGGGGTGTGCTATTGTACTTCGCTCTCCCCTGATGGCAAAAAAAATTACCTAGGGTTATTTGCTTCAGCTCTCGTACTTGGGCAGACAATTTCTAATAGTTCTGTCTATTTTACTGCACTGAAGTTCTCTACAAAGCAAACTGACTAGCACTGAAACTGCAGAAATGTGGGCTAAGGAAGTAAGTAGTAAGGTGATGAAAAAAATCACCTAAAACCCCAAATTACAACCATATCTTCCTCACACGAAGACTGATTCTCAGTGCTTGGAGGATAATAGAAGAAACCAAAAGAAATAAGGGATGTCAAATGAAGAAATCAGGCTGGGAATGCCTGGGCAGAGTGATACTAATATACCTGAAAGCCATGGAACTGTTCCAGTTTTACTCCTCAGAACCCACCAAAACTCTCTGTAGCCACTTGCCCTCCAGGAAAAAAATCCTTCAGTCACTGTTCTGTCTGCTCACATTCTGGCTTTATTAAATTTAAATCTTTCATTACCAGTGCTAGTCCACTGCTGCAGTGCTGGAGTGTGTCAGTTAACTCCAAGTCCTCGACAGCTCTGGCTGGAAATGCCAAAGGGTTACACATTTAATAGATACCTAAACTCCATTTTTCATTCACTCACCTCTGCTTTGCAGCTCAGCTGTGAGTTGCCTTTCCAAGCTCTCTCGTAGTTCTCGCTCTCTACAAAGCTCCATCTTTAACTCTTTCTTTTCCTGCTGTATCTGCTTTTCCTGGACTCTGGCATTGTCCACAGCCACTTTGAGTAAGCCCTAAAGCACACACACAGATGCAAGCTCTGAAAACACAATGTTGTTGCAGCAGTGACAAAATTCATCCATTTGTCTCTTTTACATCCTCTAGGAAAACAGAAAAATTAAAAGCAGGATCCCATAGACCTGGAGCACAACTGGGCATCTGAAGTAGATAAAATATGAGGAATTTTGTGGCGTGGAATCATTGGGTATAAGTTTGGCTAATTCATCCTCCTGCTGTGGTTTGTTACAAACACAGTGCCATGTCAGTGCTGACCTTGTTCAGCTGCAGGGGGAATACACTAGAGGAATAATGAGACTGGTGAATTTTAATATGACTATTATTGCCAATTATGAAGTCAAATAGACAATGTATGAAACCCTTTCACAATCAATAATGTCAGGGAGTGGAAATCTAAGCATTATGTGAAATAGAAGAAATGAGAATTGCAGATACAAAATAGTTCCTAAAATTTTTTTTAAGAGTGAAAAAGAAACACATGTTATCTATCATGACACAGCCAGGCCCTGTAGAGAATAATTTACCTGAATGTTGGTTAATAGTGTTTCTACTGATGAAAGACCATCAGCAAAAAGAAATGGCGCCGGAAATCCAGGAGGCAAGGCCTGTCCAGCCAGTTGGACTTTATCTAAAGTTGGTTTCATTATTGGAATGGCAATTTGGACCTCTTCTGCAAAGATAGGTTTAAAAGCGACATCAGAAAGCATTGGAAATACAGGTGAATGTAATTTCTAGAGACCAGCATTTTCTTTACCTGGAAGTAAATACAAGTGGCATTAGGAAATCGAACACTGTTTCAGCCTTTTGGGCAGCTGGGATTGTTGCCAAGGTAAGTTTGCAAAATAATACAGAACAATAATCAATATACTGAGACTGTAACACAGCTGTAATAGAGTACAGACTATTATATCTCAAATTCTACAGAATTATACTACAGAATTATAACTGTATTACGCAGTTCATTAAACCTGAATGACCTTTCTTCATTCTATCACGTTTGCTGTTCTGTGATGTGGTTTTTTTGTTGCTGTAACCTTGGCAAAATTCTAATCAAGGAATGTATCGCATCTCTTTACTCCTTTACCTTTACCCTTCCCATGCCCAGTAGTAAATAATCTCCACTGGGTCATCCATCCCCTCCCGCTCCCTGGTGTCAGTACAGTGTCAGTGCGGGTTCCTGAACAGGTACCTGGCTGCTGTCAGCCTTCCTAGTCACTGACAGCAGCCAAAAATGCCTTGCTGAGTTCTTTCCAAGGCAGGTAGAGAGAGAGCTGGGTGGTGGTGGGGTCACGGGAGTGGCTCCTGCCCTCACTGCACAGAACTGGTGCATCTCTTACAGAGTGTAAAACCAGGACCCAGCAGCTTCTCCTTCACCCCTTGTTTCAAATACATCATGTTGGTATAGATCAAGCTGTGCTCAGACAGCAGAAATGTGTATCCAGAAAGAGACAGCAACATTAGTAATTGTTTTTCAAAAATCCTCTCAATTTGGGGAAGAATCAGTACCATCACCTATGAACTCACATCCCTGTGAGTACTTGTTCCCCCGTATTCATTTTAAACACAGAGTTAATAGCTGAAAACTACAAAACTAAAATCTAGCAGTCCCTAAAGCCAAACTCGGTACGTTTCTTTTACCCTGAAATATAAAAGAATATTTCTGTGTAATATTCCATGAAAATCCAGCCTATATATATATTATGATCCTGCACTTGTAGAAATCATGATGAATATCTCCTCAGCAACTGCCTTTTAGTAAAGCTTGTGCCTACTGCACTGACCAGGAGTCCACGATGCCAGTGCTTGCTCAGGGTAGCTGCACACCAGCCCTGACAGTTTTGTCTGTCAAATGTTTTGGTCACATTATTAAAGCCCAGATTTACAATTAGACTGTATCATACACAAAAGGTCTCCTTCTCCCACCCCTCTTATTTAAGGGAAAAACAACTCAGAAAGAATCTGACAACAATGACTTAACCCAAGGTGTCTCCCCAGCAGCACATTTCCTCGGGTAACAAACTTCAGGAGCTTCCATTGAGCAGCACTTTTTGCTGTGTGTCTAAAACACCCACCTGACAACAAACCAGGAGCATCAGTAGTTTTCAAGTATTCTTTGAAATCTCTGTTTAGGGAGTATTTTGGTTTTGCTGTGTGAGTTCATTAAACAGAACATCTTCATAATGATTCTTCAGGACTAATAACAAAAGCCAGTAACCTCTATACATCCTCAGAGCAAACATCTTAGATGTAATTTAAATGATCCATTTAAAAAATCCCAACTCAGGTAACATGCTCAGACCACGGAGTTTGTGCTGATTCAGACACACCATTTCTCATATTTAAATATATCAGTGGCAGAGTCTTTAAAATAAACTGATTAGTTGTCGCATATGATGCAGCACAGAAATAACAGCTAAGCCATGGAGTCACAAAAAACTAAACAGAAGTGGCATTTGAAAAAGAAGGTAATACATGAAGTATGCATAAAAAAACAGGAGCTGCCTTAACACCTCTAGAAATCTCTACTATTTGGAGATGAAAGTAATAACATTAAATTGGCCGAAAGGAAAATTACTATTGACTGTGAAGACAGGTTGCATGGTCTATGGTTTGTAATGCTACTGTACAGCAGATTGAAGTTTCAAAATAGTATTACTCTTCTTTAAAGAGATAGACACAGCTAAATTAGGTGCTGCTTGCTGCAGTGAGGATCAAATGCAAAAAGAATCATATTTCATCAGACCTAGTCAACACCAGGAAAATAAATAGAAATATAAGAGGTATGCAGGCAATGATTCATTTTGATAATCTGGCCCAAGAGAGACACATAGAGACAGCACACAGATCTAAGCTTCTACCAAAAGACAAATAGGACACAGAGGGTGGGAATTGGGATGACAGTGTAGCAGAGGTCACATCGATTTTCAGCAGCAGTTTTCACACAGATGAGATAACCCTGGACTCTATTTGGCCCATTGTTCATATCCTACCTGTCCCAGAAGCAATAAATTTCCAAGTCCCAGAAAAAGGGCAGTAAAGAAGAAGGATTCTACTTATGACTTCTTATGATTAAGTTTTTGTGCTAACCAAACATGCTTTGCAGACCAAGGTCACATTGCATGTTAAAGTCTGTAATAGCTGAGACTAGAAGCAGCATATTATGTTTTAGCGTATATGGGTGGAAACTGTCAAACCATTCATCATTTTTTTTTTCTGATTGAAATCACACTCTGCAAAGATGAATGATAAATGCATTAGAAATCTATTTCAATCTTGTAATAGGTCTTCACATCTGAACGGTGTCTACATCTCGCCCATACTCTGAATAAGTGCACAGTTAGGCAGGAATTTATTAGCCAGACTTGAGGAATCATAATTGGTAAAGCAATTAAAAATGGCATGTGCTGGAAGCATTTCTTGGGGATTGTATCAAATGCATCTCTTTAATGAAAAAAAACCAATGTTGATTTAAGGATTTTGATTTTAAACACCACTAAAAATATAAACGCTAAAAGCTGCACTCACACACAGAGTACAATAGAATAAGCAAGAAATAAAGCCAAGACAGCTACAGCCTGAGCAAGGACACAAACAACCCTTCTGATTATTGAGGCAAAGTGGGAACTACTTTTATCGAGCCTGTTTGTTAAACCTGCCATGCTTTATAAAAGCATTCAGGAATCCATTTAGAGTGCAGCCTTTTTATTTTAATTTCTAGCTGACATCCAGATGAATAGACGAAAGCAAGAATTATATTGCAGAGCAGAGAAATACACAGTGAACACTAACAGCGAGTGGAACATCATCCCGGCAAAGCACACAGAAATCTGCCAGCAAGTTTCTTGTTCTTAATTCAATATGCTGAAGTATTTCATCTTCTGTCTTCTGCCTAAGTTGCAGAAACAGGGATTGGCAAATGAAGCATCAGCCTAGGGACTGAACGCAGCACTGGGAACAGGAGGAACAGGAATCGCTCCCTCCCGACAGGGCATGGCCCACACCAACAGGCACTTTTATTTGCCAGCTGGTTTATTTTCTTTCACAAGGCATGTTTTTAAACCCATCAGTCACATACCTGAGACACTCAACATGTCACGTCCCTCTCAAAACAAGGTAGAAATATTAAAGGTGCAATTTACACCAATTAGATCACTGAGTTATTTCTTCACATACACTTCAGAACTTTATCTACCTGGATCTGTATAAGCATTATTCACCACAAACAGCTCACAGATATAACTCATGCATTAATACATATTTGGCATATGGAGAAGACAGAAACAATTCATACAAAATTTACAGTTATTAATCTATTAGTTACTAACCAAGACATTTGATCTCAGCCTTCAGCCAGGGTTAAGAAGATGTTTTTGGACATAGATGGCAGCTGGGTTACTCCTTTTCCCTGGCTGTGGCATAAAATTTAGAAATTTAGGGACTGAAATTCGTTATTGCAATTATAATTCTTCGAGCTTCATACCTGAGTGATGGGGATTACATTTAATGCTCCATAGTTACAGAACAGCCTGGATACTCTAATGGACCTCTTTGACTTTTAATAAAATAAGGCAGAGGATCTGCAACATCAGCTGAGTTGTCTGTGTGACTCATCTCTGAAAGGTACATATTTGAAAAAGCATTATTTGCCCAAATATCTTACAGAATCATCCAAACTGACATATCTATAGTGGCAAGAGGTCCCTTGACTTCCAGCTTTACATTTACTTCACATCAACAGTGATAGGCAGCAGTGTCCAAACACAGGTATTTTGACAGAATTAGGGTCCAAATTCTAATTTTTTTCTGCAAAAGGCAGTTTCCAGAAAAGTGAGACTTCTTATTTTGATTTTAAACCTTGGTAACGTCTACATTCTTAACTAGAAACCAGTACGTATTTTTCTTTTACAGCAAGGTCAGTACGAAACCCAGTAATCTAAAGCACTTTTTATTTCAAATATTTTGTATTTCTAAGTCTGCAAGGACAGGATTATCTGTCTTCCACGTCTTAATAACTCTGAAAATCCACCATAACCCTCTGCCTGCCTTTTTCTCCCTTACTCATTGCTTCTCTGCCAGGTTCCAAGACTCCTGATCATCAGTGAGAAAAGAGACACCTCCTCTGAGCATGGCACCAATCAGACTTCGAAATTTACTGCTTTAACCTTGTGATTCAGGTGCCAAACTTAAAGTCACTGCTGTTTTTCTCAATTACAGTCCCCGAATGATGAGGGTCAATGAATGCAATTGAGGAGTAGCTGATTAATCGAGTCACCAGCTTTAAGTCAGACTTCATTTTCAAGTGACTGATACAACTCGATAGCACACAAGCATTATTCACTGCTGAGCTTTGCCATAAAAAAACTTCACTTTAAGAATAGTATCTAATCATTATATATACATTTCCTATACACTGCCAGGCTGCCTTAAAATCTGTAGAAACTATCACAAAACAGTAACATCAACTATGCTCTGCTTCATGGAATCCATTTCCAAGCAGCTTCTCACCTATGCGCTCCAAAATCATTGATTTTGTTCTGAACAAGTGTTTAATAAAACTTTTTCACTGTTTTCAACACAGTGGAAAAATGCAGAGTCACAGAATTATTGAGGTTGGAAAAGACCTTTAAGATCGAGTACAATTGTTCCCCCAGCACTGCCAAGGCCACCACT